TGCACGTTGGGGCGCGGCGGTAGCACCGGGGGAAGCAGTCCATGGGGCCGCTGGAGCCCATGTGGCACCGGGGGAAGCGGTCCACGGGGCCGCCGGTGCCCAAGTGGCACCGGGGGATGCGGTCCACTCGCGTTGGGCAGCGGGTGCAACCGTTTGTACCTCTGCTGGGGGAGGGGTCCATTCGCGTTGGGGCGCGGCGGTAGCACCGGGGGAAGCAGTCCATTCGCGTTGGGGAGCGGGAGTGGCACCGGGGGAAGCGGTCCACGGGGCGGCCGGTGCCCAAGTGGCACCGGGGGATGCAGTCCACTCGCGTTGGGCAGCGGGTGCAACCGTTTGTACCTCTGCTGGGGGAGGGGTCCATTCGCGTTGGGGTGCGGCGGTAGCACCGGGGGAAGCAGTCCACGGGGCCGCTGGTGCCCATGTGGCACCGGGGGAAGCAGTCCACGTGGGCCGCGGGTGCAACCGTTTGTTTTTTCGGTGGGAGGAGGGGTCCATTCGCGCTGAGGTGCGGGGGTAGCACCGGGGGAAGCGGTCCACGGGGCCGCCGGTGCCCAAGTGGCACCGGGGGATGCGGTCCACTCGCGTTGGGCAGCGGGTGCAACCGTTTGTACCTCTGCTGGGGGAGGGGTCCATTCGCGTTGGGGAGCGGCGGTAGCACCGGGGGAAGCAGTCCACGGGGCTGCTGGTGCCCAAGTGGCACCGGGGGAAGCGGTCCACGGGGCGGCTGGTGCCCATGTGGCACCGGGAGATGCGGTCCACTCGCGCTGGGCAGCGGGTGCAACCGTTTGCACTTCGGTAGGGGGAGGGGTCCATTCGCGTTGAGGTGCGGGGGTGGCTCCTGATATACCCAAGGTGTTCACAAGGGGAAGCGATGAGTGATAACGGTGTGAAAACGAAGGCTGGCTTCACTGCCTGTAAGACTGTAAGCGCCACTTGCTGCACAATAAAAAGAGGATCACGGTCAAAAAAATAATGGATTTTGATTACATGCACACGGACGATTGTAATCGAATAGGAAAGAGCACGCACGACCATACCGTCTATGTGGCGTGGCTCAAGCCGAGAACGTCTCGTCACCTGTGTCGGTACGCTCTCGTGCGGCGACGACGGGGGCAGCAGAAAGAACAAGGTACACACGTGCTTTTCGCGCGAACGATCGCCTTCTGAGCTTGTACTGCCGAAGTGTATACCGCAACATCGATGTCCACAAGACATCGCACACGTCTAGCGGTAATCGGACAGCAGTGTCCCCTGGTCTTTCTTGACCGTACTCGCGTCGTCGTTCGGGTGTGTTCTTATCGCGCGGCCGGTTTCGGAATGCTATTAAGTCGATCGCTCGTTCGAATCCGAACCGGCACAAACCAACCGAAATCATACCTGGGGAAGCGGTCCATGGGGCTGCTGGTGCCCAAGTGGCACCGGGGGAAGCAGTCCAAGGCGGGGCGGGTGCCCAGGTGGCACCGGGGGAAGCGGTCCATGGGGCAGCGGGTGCAACCGTTTGGACTTCGGTGGGTGGAGGGGTCCATTCGCGTTGGGGAGCGGCGGTAGCACCGGGGGAAGCAGTCCACGGGGCAGCGGGTGCCCATGTGGCACCGGGGGAAGCGGTCCACGGGGCCGCGGGTGCCCATGTGGCACCGGGGGATGCAGTCCACTCACGTTGGGCAGCGGGTGCGACTGTTTGCACTTCGGTGAGGGGAGGGGTCCAATCGCGCTGAGGTGCGGAGGTAGCACCGGGGGAGGCAGTCCATGGGGCCGCGGGTGCCCAGGTAGCACCAGGGGATGCAGTCCATGGGGGAGCGGGTGCAACCGTTCGAACTTCGGTAGGCGGAGGCGTCCATTCGCGTTCAGGTGCGGAGGTGGTTCCTGATTTACCCAAGATGTTCACAAGGGGAAGAGATGGTTGATATCGGGGTGAAAACAAAGGCTGGCTTCACTGCCTCGGCTAGCAACTAGCAGCAAACACGTTAAAGAGGAGCACGGCACAATATACATAAAGAGTAGTTCAAAACAACACCACAAAGATCATTTTGGTTATACGCTTACGGAACGATTCAATTGAATAGGAAAGAGCCCGCTTGACCATGCTGTCTACAATTTGTCGTGTGGCCCATCCTGAGAACTTCTCGTCGCTGGTGTCGAGGCACGCTCGTACGCATACGGCGACGACGGGGGCAGCAGAAAAACAAGGTACATACGTACCCG